CCTCCTGACAAGAGCTGTGGCCTTCAACAGAGGCCGTGGTGTCTGGTGGGAGGGGCCCAGGGGGTAAAAACCCCAGTGCGTCTCTCTTCTCACCCCCTCCGGTCTTCTGCTGGTGTCTTTCGTTAGATAAACCCAACCGGAAGCCGGAGGGCAAGGTTGCTGCTGATACGGTCCACGCAGGGCACCCTCCCAGGGCACAGAGCAGGGTGGAGGGTGAGTGGACCTGGAGGAGTGAATGGAAGATACCCAACAAAGCTATTTTTATTATTAGGTTGGACCATTTGATGCTGCCCCCGTACAATGGTATTGCCGTGTAAAAACAGCACATTAATATGCTTAACCAAAGATTATATTGTTTGCACTGACAATCAATAGAGAAGGGTGGTCGGAAGGCTCATTGATACACGACTCAGGTCTGAGTCCTTGAATAGTCCACCTGCTCCCAGTGTGATCTTGACAAACCCCAGGGCCTCAGTTTTCTCATCTGTGAAATGGGAATGCTCCTCAGATGAGAGGATGGGGACTGCTGTCATTTAAAAAAAGGAATAAGTGCCACTAGGTGAGTCCCTGCTCTGAATACAGATGCTCCTTGATGTAATAATGGGGTTACTTCCCCCCAATAAACAGATTTATTTGGAAATATTGTACATTGAAAATGCATTTGGTACACCTAACCAAACATCATATCTTAGCCTAGCCCACCTTGAATGTGCTCAGGACACTTATGCTAGCCTCCGGTTGGGCAAAATCATCTAAACAAAGCCTGTTTTATAATAAAGTATTGGTCTCATATAATTTAGTATTGTATCGCTTTGGAACCATTTATACCAATAAAAGGGTAACATGCTAATTAGACCGGATGTCCTTCCGTACAAAGCCATGGTGGCGGGGCCAAGGCAGAGGCAGTTAGGGGTGATCAGGCCAGCAGGCAGGCGAGCAGTTAGGAGCCAGCAGTCCCGGATTGCAAGAGGGATGTCCAACTGCCCACAGGGATCGGGCCTAAACTGGCAGTCGGACATCCCCCAAGGGGTCCCAGATTACAGAGGGTGCAGGCCGGGCTGAGGGACAACCCCCCTCCTGTGCACAAATTTTGTGCATCAGGCCTCTAGTCATAAAATTTAAAAAAATCGTAAGTCAAACCATTGTAAGTTGGGGACTGTCTGTATTTTGTCCTTAAGGGAAGGATGAGGATGAAACTTGGGGTTTCCATGGCATGACAAGATTTAGGGCTGTAGGCGAGTCCGTTCCAGCTGGATTTTAATCCGAATGAGTTTCATTGCAACCTGGGCCTAAGTGGCAGCCAGGGGCCATTAAGCGAAACGACGTGTTTTAATACGCAGACCTGCCTAATCACATTTCCCTGTTTGGGGCCGTGTGTCTGTGCACGCACGCACGAATGCAGAAACCCGTCCCGAGCTTTCCTCTCCTCCCTCCTCGCCGGGCCGTGGCTGAGGCCAAGATAAGCTCGGTTAACAGCACAACAAAGGCAGGTTTCTGCTTTATCAAGGAATCAGGTAATTGGCTGGGCTGTGCAGGGAGCCCCGGAGGCTGCGCTGTTAACAGCGTCCGCCTCTGCGGTTGCTACTGTGGCATTTGGGTTTATAGACTCAGGGCTCGGAGGGATCCATAATCCAGGGGAAGAAGGAATTATTAATCATAACACAAATCAATGATAGCTTCCACTTGACCAGGGGTATTTTGTGCCAGGCCCTGGATCCGGGGCTTCCTGTCCATTATCTTACTCCATCCTCACAGGAATTCTATTTTGACATGGAGCCTATCGCCCCCACTCTACAGATGAGGTCAGGGAGGTGCATATACTTGTCAGGCTGAATGGCTTGACCCCCAAACCTGTCCCCTAAGCTGTCCCGCTGAACCGACTGCTAAAAGCATGTGGTCTTGGCTTCCGGGTCTTTAAGTGGAAGGAGGGATTGTCTGCGTGGAAAGTGCTGGGGACACTACGCACTGTGGTTGTTGAGCGCAGTAACGAGTTCATCGCTGCCCCCCCTCTATTTTCAGTCCTCTTTCCCCCTCCTCCCTGCCCTCCCATCACCCCAGGCTCCATCCTCATGGTTTCTCTGCTCCCTAAACATTCCTGTCCACTGATGCCTCTGAGCCTTGTTCCTCAGTTCCCCTCATCCTTCCCTCCATCCTTCATGTCTTGCACACTCCAGCTCATCCTTCAAGAGCCAGCCCCGATTTCCCTCATCTGGGAAGACTCCCCTGACCCCTCCCCTAGGCAGAGCCATTCCATCACCTGTTTGTTCCCATGGCATTTTGTACATTAACAAAACAAAGCCTTTTCTGGACACACACGTGCGCGCCCGCGCGCGCGCGCACACACACACACACACACACACACACACACACACTTTTTTTTAGAAAAGGCAGAGAAATTAATCTTTATTTTTAATTACTGCCAGCTCTCTCATCCTGACTTTAAATGCTGCCACCTCATTTGTCTTATTAAGTATTTAGTTTTGCTTTTAATTAGTGCTGCTTGTTGTCGCTGAATTTTAATAGTCGGTGCAGGGTCTCAGCAGGCCTCGGTGTGGATGTTTCACAAGTGACTCCTGTCCTCCTGCAAGGCCCGGGCGTGGGTGGCTGAGCCTCTGAGGTGGCGGGAGGGGCTACAGGGAGCGGCTGAAGGCTGGTGTACTTTTTTCCGGGCCTCAACCAATCCTGGTGGAAGTTAGATCCAAGGTAACTGATCGATGAAGACACAGAGAGTTCAGGAGGGTTGCGATGCAGAAATTCAATTTAAATTTGACTTAAGGAAGGAGGGGGCGGGAAGGAATATACTGGCTCATGGTATCCAAGAAGGCCCTAATAGATTCAGGCAAGGCTAGATCCAGCATTCCAGCTCATCATCGGGCACCAGTCTTCCTCCATCTCTCAGCTCCACTTCCATCCTTTGGCAAGTCTTTCCCACGTGGTGGCCGTGGTGGCAAAGGTCACCAGGATCAGCCCCAGGCTTCTGTGCTTTGAGCTTAACAACACCAATGGGAAGAGGGTGCTTCTAGCTTACGGAGCATGTGCCCACCCCAGGGCCTTTGCACTTGCTTCCCCGCTGCCTGGAATGCTCCGCCTCAGAGAGCCCTTCTGACCACCTATTTAAAGTCAGTCATCCCTCTCCATCACCAGTCCCTTTTCCCTGTTTTATTTATCTTTAAAGTGCACATCATCGGCTGGTATGTCTTATATTTGACCTGTTTGGTTGTCTGTCTTCCTGCTGGAAGGCTGAGTAACAAGGTAACAGGTGTTTGTTTTAATGCTGTATCCCCAGTGCCTAGAATGTGTCTGGCATCTAGTAGTAGATGTTCTATTAAAAAAATGGTTTTTTGGTTAATCCTCACCCAAGGATATTTTTTCCATTGATTTTTAGAGAGAGTGGAAGGGAGGAGAGATATATAGAGAGACGCATCTATGTGAGGGAGACACATTGATTGGTTGCCTTCTGCACCTGCCCCAACTGGGGCAGGGATCGAGCCTGCAACCAAGGTAGGTGCCCTTGTCCGGAATCGCACCCTCAACCCTTCAGTCCGAGGGCCGGTGCTCTAACCACTGAGCGACCGACTAGGGTTATAAATACTTTTTGTTTCTTCCCGTTTCTCAAGAGAAGCTGGCAATCTGTATTTTTCAGTTAGATCCTGATGGTGTACTTTTGAAAGCATTGGCTTAACTTCACTTTTAAAAAACACTGCATGGGCCAAGCAAAACCTGCTTTCAGCCTGGATCCTGTTGTGGACCCGCAACCACCCCCATTTGAGGCCCTTTGTGTAAGCTCACCCCCCACACACACCCCGTCAGATAGTCTGAGTGAGTTTTCCCAGATCCCTAACTGAGCAGTGATGGGCTGGGCTCAGGGGAGGGAGGGAGGGACAGGGACAGCGACAGAGATGGAAGTGTGTGCGCACCGTCCAGCTGGCGGCTGCCTGTTCTGCTGCAAAGCATCTGGTTTAATTCTAAGACTGTGGGGTGGGGGTGGGGGGCGGGGGGGGGCGAGGCTGACTGTGGCATTGAACTCCACGCAGACCGCTGAGCTCACACAGGTCCCCTGCAGCACCCCAAGCCTCACCTAAAGCCCGGCCCCGTCCCGCTCCGCCCCCGTGAGGGGAGCTGCGATACCTGCTGTGACTGGGAGTTAAATGTGTTTCAAGAGTTGTTTTCAGTTCAGCTAAAACCTGCTGAGATTCTGGGATGGAGGCAGGGTTCCTCAGCAAACAGCACTGAAGGAGAAGTAGGCAGAACAAAATGGAAAGGGGAAGGAAGGGGGGCTTTGACTCTGGCTTTTCGGGGTGTGGGATGGGGCCTCCGAGGCAGTTTAAGACGCAGGGTGGTGTCAAGGTTAGCGCCAAGCGGTGGAGGTGGGCAGAGCAGGAGCCAGGACTGGCTCTGCCACTTACCGGAGGACGGATTGAGTGCCCACTGCTCTCACTGAGCTCTGCGACGTACTGAGGGTTTATTGAGCATCGACTATAGATCATACTCAGGACTGGCTGCAAAGTGAACATGCAAGGCCCCATGCCCAAAAATTACTAAGAATTTCAAGGCAATGACAGCAGAGCATTGAGCCAAATGCGGGCCCATCTAGCACAGGGTCCTTCTGTGTCCCCTCCCAACTTCTCACCTGTTCAGCTTCTCCGGGAACAAGGCTGTGCTGTGACCAGACCTTCAGGGAAATTGGAGGGGCCCTGGGAACACGGCCCCTACCCTTGCTGGGCACGTGACCTTGACTCAGTGAGTGAGAAGAATGTGGGGTCAAGGGCGGGATCTTCAGCTCCGATCCATTCCTGCAGGAGGGAGCTGGGACCTCCAGCAGGAACTTCCCTCTGGGGCCTGAGGCTCCCCCTCAGGGAAGAGGACAAGCTGGGTGAGGTCCGTCCTCTCTGTGTCCCGAGTGCTGGGCACGGAGCAGGGCCTTGGGAACGGAGACGCGGCTGAAGCACTGGGTGACGGCCTCTGTGGTGACTGTGTTCCAGGCGCACGGGACATCTGCCATGACCGACACCGTGGTCAGCAGCGGCTCCAGCCGCTGGGTGTGTCCCAGCGACCGGCCCCTTCAATCCAAGTAAGTCCCGGGTGGTCTTGGGAGTGGCTGGTTCTGGGTCGGTGCGGGCCTGGGATTTGGGCTCACCAGGGAGGACGGGAAGAGCAAGCAAAGACCTGGAGTCCCTCCCGGGCAGGGGCAAAGGAACCCGGTGGGAGTTTTGTCATGGGAACTTCCCTGCTGATTTTCCTGCTTTTTAAAAATATATATGTAGAATTGTCTTAGTTTTTTAAAAATTGATTTTTTTACAGAGAGGGAGAGAGGGAGGGAGAGAGACATCAATTTGTTGTTTCACTGTGTATGCGTTCATTGGTTGATTTTTGCATGTGCCCTGACCGGGGATCCAACCCGCAACCTTTGCGTATCTGGACAATGCTCTAATCAACTGAGCTACCGGGCCAAGGCCGGGCATGTCATGCTAAACTTCCACCAGAAATACACCTACTCTCCCAAGCCCTTCCCATGATGCCCCCTTGGGCCCAGACTTATTTTGCAGAAAATATTCTACCCACCAAACAGCGTGTCTCTGGAAGATAAACAGTTGCCCGAAGGGTGGACGGGGTAACATTTATTTTATTTCTGAAATGTCAGTTCATTAAAATCCCATGCATCCGACAGTTTACTTCCGTCGGTACAAGGCCAGACAATTTGCTTTACGCTGAGAGGAGAGTGATCCCGACAGCCTGGATGCAGTTTCATTAGCAGTGCGCCCGGGCTGCCGGGAAACAGCTTGGCATTCTCCGTGCACATGGCCGGCCGGCTCGCTCCTGCATGTCCTTGGGATATTAAAATTGTTTTCCCGCCCTAACCGGTTTGGCTCAGTGGATAGAGCATCAGCCTACGGACTCAAGGGCCCCGGGTTTGATTCCGGTCAAGGGCACGTACCTTGGTTGCGGGCACATCCCAGTGGGGGGTGTGCAGGAGGCAGCTGATCAATGTTTCTCTCTCATCGATGTTTCTAACTCTCTATCTCTCTCCCTTCCTCTCTGTAAAAAATCAATAAAATATATATA